TCTTTCATGGGTCTCACATCTTTTCAACTACACATTTCAATAACTTCTATCACAATTTACTAAAAATCTAATTTCAATCCCCACCAAACACTCCCCTAAATTATTTCCTATTTTCTAGTATTAAAGTGACTTTGTATTAACAAAACATGCAGATTTGCTGACCCTCAACTGCAGATTATCAGTCAACTTTTAAAGTCATGCTTAAAATTACAAGCAAACAATAATATCTCCACGTAGAAATGATGTAAGTCTTAAAAGAATGTTCAAATTAAGCCCCGTGATCATTTTTTTGGAAAAATATTATTTTGAATAGTGAATTTTTGAAAAATGTACAGTTAAAAAATAGAAAAAATGTTTGAGTTTACTTGTAGAATATTTTATTGTGTATATAAAAAAAAAAGTTCTAGAAGAATAGAAAACAAGCAGAGATTTAGATGATTATCCAAAAAGAGTAATGTTATTTGCAGTAACTCACTACCATAGTTGTCCTATGTGATATATATGTGAGTTAGTGATTTGATACATTAGTGTGATAATTTTTATTGTCTTACGTATCAAATCATTTATCGTTACATGTATGTTATGTAAGACGACTACGATAGTGAGCGACTGTAAATAACATTATTCATCTAAAAAATGGCAATAACCTTCTCATAATTTAGGAAAAACTCTCTTCTTTTTTACTTGGGGGAGGTGAATGGACTCGGAATTTAAACAAAAAACAAAAAAGAATAATGCTATTTAACATCGCCGATGTTTAACATTAGTTTACATGATAGTACTAATGTTATTAAATTACGTATTCAATTAAATATAAGGAATTTTGGTTCATTTAATAGAATCTATGATATGTTGACACTTAAATTGCTGTTCAAAATTACTAATACTAGATAGCATTATTCAATAGCAAAAAAGGTGGTCCGGACGTGTCTAGAGATATTCCGCTGTCTCTAGAAATATCTATTGGATACGGATTTGATCTCCTGTCCACAGTAGATATGATAAGAATTTT